ATTTAGCAGCATTACCACAAAGCACCGTGGTTCGATATTTATTTGAATAAAAAAATAAAAAATAAAAAACTTAATTCACAAATTGCATGCCTGGTTGAAAGGATCCAAAGATCCATGTAGACTTTAATATTGAGTTGAACATTTTGTTCATGAAAACAAATTAACATGCGTTTTTTTCAGATTATATTTAGTTTTGCTTGGAAAAAGCTGGCCCAAACCAGTTTTATTTCATCAATTACTGAAATAATGAAATATTTAGTAATAAACTTTTATGATAGAAATATCACTAGGCTACATGTAACTAAATCATTTAATTCCTTCATTATCAACACTGTCTAGAATAGCGATTTAAGTGTGAATTGCGACTTCTCTTTGTGTTAAGTCAGCCTCAGACTCCGATAGCCTGTGGGGGGTTGGAGGGACAGTTCAGTGCTGTATCGAGCGCGCAGGACAATAGGCATAGGTGTTAATGTTCCTCTTTCATATGGAGAGCGAGGGAGACTAAATAAACTTGTTAAAAAGAGATTCAGCGCGAGAGAGGCAAAGAAAAACGCATGTTTTAATTTAATTATGTTGCTTTGGACAATTTTCGTTTTGTAGGCCTACTGTTTTAATTGTTTAATATAGCTGTCATTTCTTTGGCAATACAAATTTAAAATGTCGCAAGAATAAGATTAGCCTAGTGTTTCTTATTTTGCATCGCAAAAGAAATAAACTCTAAACCCGATGCAACCCTGTTTTAAATTAAAAAAACTGTCCCGACACTTTATTTAAACCTTGAAATGTTCGAACTTGGTTTCAAACTTAAGTAATTTTAGTGTTCTTTTACATTACACAATAATTTAGCAGACTAAAGACGAGCTTCTTCATTTTCATTTTCTGATGCAATCGGCTGACAATCTTCCTTCATCAGTTTATGTCGTTTGTGCAGCGGCTGCGGTTCTACAGGAATGTAGCAAATTTATGTTGTAATGATAATTAAACAAAACTCTTGACTTTAAATAAGTAAACAGTTATAAACAGTTAGCTATTTAAGCATCAAGAAGGTTAAATATAAACGCTGTTGGCCAACATCGGTTAACAACATGTATGCTACATTGAGATTCGATCTCGAGTCGATTGAAGCTCCTCGAAGCTCGTGTTGTTGAGTTAACCACTGAGCTATCGTCTGTACGTCTGTAAATGTTTTTATTGCAATGTTTTACTTTTTCATTATTTATTCAATTTCATTTCAGTAGCCTAATTTCAGTATTGTGATTATGAATTATTTTAACTATACGTTTCACTTGTTGAATTCATCTGCTACCAGCTTTCAATCGCTCTGAATCAGTGCGGTGCGGCAGCAGATTACGCATTAGAGAGAATAAACAAACACTTTTCAGAGTCTATGATTGTAGCGCCTCTTGGCGGTAAAAGGCAGCAAATACACCACACATTTTACCGCCGCGGTGGAACGGCTGATGTGGGCATTGTCATGGCTTGCCTCAACATTTGCGTTTGAATAGCGCGCGTCCTCCGTGGGCGTGTCAGATTAACGCGTAATGAAGTGTAATGAGCTGGGGAAAAAAAATCTGACAGCACTCTCTTTTCGTACAGATTACATAAACTGAGAATATTTGTTTTTTATATAAATTACATCATTGAAAAGAAGAGAATTCAAGCTTCATAAAGAAAAATCTCTCGTGCCTGTATGACAAGTATTTGCAGAGTTAGAGTTAATTTTTCGGACGTGTTTCAGAATGGACTGCACTGACAGAGAGAAGGCAAAACTCGCATCATGTTTATTTTTCTTTATTTGACAAAAAGCACAAAACTTTGTTTTTATTGTGAGTATACAGAAAAATAATAGACAATTAACAAGATCGATTGATGTATAACACTTATATGTACGATCAAAATCAACAGAGTATTTTAAGTCTATTTTTCTGCTATGTGAAAAAAAAACGGCAAAACGCGCGGGCGCGTTTCTGGTCCCCAGAGGGTTAACAGGTTAACCACAGTATGAGAGAATCTTCTCTTCTTTTGAGGTTATACAAATGCAGTTGATTGTGTTTCTTTGTATTAATTTAATACATTCTGAACAATGTTACCGTTTCCTTAATGCCTTGTGTCCGTGATGGGCTGATCCCTGTTCAGAGAAGAATATAAACACACTGGAGCTTCAGCGGCCTCTTCTTCCACGCTGAGATCGCTCTGATGGTTGCCATGTGTGTCGCGTCGAGTGTTGGCAGCATATTAGCTTATACGTATATTAGTATATTAGCTTATACGTATATTAGTATATTAGCTTATACGTATATTAGTATATTAGCTTATACGTATATTAGTATATTATCACGACCCCAAAAGACTGCACTCATTCATCATCTTTACTGTTATTCCCCTGTGCTTTAACAGCACTGCTGTGATCTTACTGTAAAGTTTTCTGAACTCTTCTTAGTCTTCCACCTTTTTCATTTTGGCAGTAGGAAATATTTATGGATTAATTGTTTTTTTAGTAAAGCGAATGGCATTTTAGTGTTTAATGCTCAGTTATGTTGGACATTTAGAAGATAACTTTAACTCTTTATTGATTCATTGTTTTAAAATCGTTATGATTCGTTTCTTCGTTGTTTTTAAGGATGGAGTTAGTGATCAGTGTCACTATAGCAATAAGCCAATTGTTTTGCACAAACAAACTGGAAATAATATCAACACGTTGTCTCCTGCACCACAACTCTATAATTGTGTTGTGATTAAATCATTACCTGTTTTTTTTTTTTGTTGTTGTTAAAAAACAAAAAAAACAAAAACTAGTACTAGTACTAGAACAAAAAAAAGATTCTCATTTATTGTTATGGACGGCGAGTGAGCGAGTGAGCGAGAGAGTGTGTGAGTGAGTGAGTGTGTGAGTGTGTGAGTGAGTGAGTGAGTGAGTGTGTGAGTGTGTGAGTGAGCGAGTGAGAGAGTGAGTGAGTGAGTGAGTGAGTGAGTGAGTGAGTGAGTGAGTGTGTGAGTGTGTGAGTGTGTGAGTGAGAGAGTGAGAGAGTGAGTGAGCGAGAGAGCGAGAGAGCGAGAGAGCGAGAGAGCGAGAGAGCGAGAGAGCGAGAGAGCGAGAGAGCGAGAGAGCGAGTGAGCGTGTGAGTGAGTGTGTGAGTGAGTGAGTGTGTGAGTGAGTGTGTGAGTGAGTGAGCGTGTGAGCGAGTGAGTGTTGTTAGAAATCAAGGTCAGTAAGAGCAGATTGGTGACATAGCAGCCAATTAGACTGACTGACACCTGGAAGCAGATGCACACACACACACACACACACACACACACACACACACACACACACACACACACACACACACACACACACACACACACACACACACACACACACACACACACACACACACACAGTCTGATGTAGAGCTGCTGAATCCTGCTGGACATCAGCGTAAACAACTGCACACCCTTCAAAACTCAGCTAATCTACCACACACACACACACACACACACACACACACACACACACACACACACACACACACACACACACACACACACACACACACACACAGGAGGAGCTGGAGTTTTGTTTGTTTGACCCGCTCTTGAGTCTGTGACACTGACCTGTATAATTGACTGTTGTCCTTGGCTAGATTCTCTACGTAACTGTTCTAGTTCCATGTCACATTCTGCTCTACTTCTCTTATAATGAAATCCGGTTACATTTCAACGCTCCACTGTAGACATTCTGCTGACGGATAAGTCATGTTGCAAAACCTCAACTAGCTCTCATTAGAGTAGTAGTAGATTATTAGGTTAGGGTTAGGAGAATAAGTTGACATGTAGTTGCTACTTATAGTCAGTAGAATGTCTAAAGTGACCATCGAAGTAATTTACATTCAGATCAATAGTTCATGTTTGTATATTTAATTATCTAGTAAATGAGTGAACACTTGTTGAAGTCAGTGTGAAACTAAGGTCTCATCTTTTCCTCCTTGTTGTTTATACAGTCAAAAACAAATTTATTCAGACTCCTTCAACATTTCTCACATTATCTCAGTTTATTCGCTATAGTTTAGACAATGGTGATAAACATAAGCAGAACTCAGTTCTCAGATACACTCACTCACACACTCTGGTACATTTACAGAAATGTTTTATTAATGTACAATGTCCCTGTCAAACTAAATAAACTAAAAAAAAAAAAAAAAAAAAAAGATCAGTGGATATTTGACTGGTTTTGTCCGTCCTTCTGTTAGACTCTCACACATGAATTATGTTGAATATCTGTCAGCTGTTCAATTTAACTACACAATTAGAGAATACCAGTTTAGCTCAACCAGTGACCAAGCAATGCTTCATGTTGTTCAGTGTGTGTGTAAAAAGAGCATTAGCAGTTACAGAAAACACACTTCAGCAGAACATCATCAGCTCAAAGTGGAGGAATCATTATTGCTCCCAAATTTTTAATGTAAGTTAAATTTATAATAATATGTGTGTATAATATGTCACAGTTTACTTTATTTTGCTCTCCTCACTTACAGAAATGAACTATAGTGTCCTGATCACACTAGTGAAAAACATATCAAAAATTATATCTGGTGTCTGAATCATTTTTGGTTTGACTGTACATTTCCGTGTTTATTAATCATTAGTTAACATTAACATTAATATTAACATTAGTTAATAACAAAGACAGCTGTTCATTGTTAGTTCTGGTGATTTCAATAATGTTCACTTTTGATTTTAATCATGCATTAGTAAATGTTAAAATTTACATTAAATAATATTAATAAATGCTTTAGAAATATTGTTCAATGTTAGTTCATGTTACTAATATTAACAAAAGGAACTTTATTGAGCTTGTAAACCCCATCAGACTGATCGAAGATCCTGATCCGGTGTTCCTGGCGTCTGAAACAGATTTAAATGTAAAATGTGGCGTCTAAGCTTCTACGATCCTCTGAGCGAGTGCTAATAGTGCTGGATTCTGACCCTGTGTGTGTGTGTGTGTGTGTGTGTGCCTCCAGCGCGACGGAGATGATCTTGGCTCGAGCGCGACAGCTGGCTGACGTGAAGAAGGATGATGGATTCTCCGCTCTTCATCTCTCCGCTCTGAACAACCACCGGGATGTGGCCGAGATCCTCCTCAAAGAGGTGTGTGAGATTACACTGTTCCTCATTCACACATTTAAAGGGATAGTTCACCCAAAACTATAGCCCATGATTTACTCACCCTCAACTCATCCTAGGTGTATGATCCATGATAAAAGTGGTGCACATTTAATAGATGCACTTTTATGATGGATAGATGCACTTTTATGATGGACAGATGCACTTTTATCACGATAGATGCACTTTTATGATGAATAGATGCACTTTTATGATGAATAGATGCACTTTTATGATGAATAGATGCACTTTTATGATGAATAGATGCACTTTTATCATGGATAGATGCACTTTTATGATGGATAGATGCACTTTTATGATGGATAGATGCACTTTTATGATGAATAGATGCACTTTTATCATGGATAGATGCACTTTTATGATGGATAGATGCACTTTTATGATGGATAGATGCACTTTTATGATGGATAGATGCACTTTTATCATGGATAGATGCACTTTTATGATGAATAGATGCACTTTTATGATGGATAGATGCACTTTTATGATGGATAGATGCACTTTTATGATGGATAGATGCACTTTTATGATGGATAGATGCACTTTTATGATGAATAGATGCACTTTTATCATGGATAGATGCACTTTTATGATGGATAGATGCACTTTTATCATGGATAGATGCACTTTTATGATGGATAGATGCACTTTTATGATGGACAGATGCACTTTTATGATGGATAGATGCACTTTTATGATGGACAGATGCACTTTTATCACGATAGATGCACTTTTATGATGAATAGATGCACTTTTATGATGAATAGATGCACTTTTATGATGAATAGATGCACTTTTATGATGAATAGATGCACTTTTATCATGGATAGATGCACTTTTATGATGGATAGATGCACTTTTATGATGGATAGATGCACTTTTATGATGAATAGATGCACTTTTATCATGGATAGATGCACTTTTATGATGGATAGATGCACTTTTATGATGGATAGATGCACTTTTATGATGGATAGATGCACTTTTATCATGGATAGATGCACTTTTATGATGAATAGATGCACTTTTATGATGGATAGATGCACTTTTATGATGGATAGATGCACTTTTATCATGGATAGATGCACTTTTATGATGAATAGATGCACTTTTATGATGATAGATGCACTTTTATGATGGACAGATGCACTTTTATCATGGATAGATGCACTTTTATGATGGATAGATGCACTTTTATGATGGATAGATGCACTTTTATGATGAATAGATGCACTTTTATGATGAATAGATGCACTTTTATGATGAATAGATGCACTTTTATGATGGATAGATGCACTTTTATGATGGACAGATGCACTTTTATGATGAAAAGATGCAGTTTTATGATGGATAGATGCACTTTTATGATGAAAAGATGCACTTTTATGATGGATAGGTGCACTTTTATGATGAATTTATGCACTTTTATGATGAAAAGATGCACTTTTATGATGGACAGATGCACTTTTATGATGGACAGATGCACTTTTATCATGGATAGATGCACTTTTATGATGGACAGATGCACTTTTATGATGGACAGATGCACTTTTATGATGGACAGATGCACTTTTATGATGGATAGATGCACTTTTATGATGAATAGATGCACTTTTATGATGGATAGATGCACTTTTATGATGGACAGATGCACTTTTATGGACTTCAAAACAGAAACGGCCATTCACTGCCATTATAAAGTTTAGAAGAGCCAGGACATTTTTTATAAATTCATATAAATAAGAAAAAGGGGGGGGGGGGAATAAATAAACCAGATTAACTATGCCACAGCTTATATAGTGTATATATATATAAGCTGTGGCGTAGTGGTTTATTTTTCTCTTTTTGGCTAGTAGAAGTTCTGAATGGCCGGTAACTTAAAAAATGTAGCAGTCAAATTGGCCGTAAATTTCAGCTAGTAATTTCAAACCCTGATTATGAGAGAAACAGATTGACCGGCGGCGTATCTGTGACTGTTTTGTTTGAAGGGTCGCTGTGACATCAACATCCGCAACAACCGTAACCAGACGGCGCTGCAGTTGTGCGTGACGCAGGGTCACATGGCCCTGGTGGCGCTGCTGGTGACGGAGGGCGCAGACGTGAACGCGGAGGACGAGGACGGGGACACGGCGATGCACACGGCTCTGAGCCGACAGCAGCTGAGCGCAGTCATGAGCAGTGCCGAGGGAGAGGGGGCCGCGCTCTACAGCAGGGTAAGATGAGCCGCTCACAGGGACCTCACCTCAGGCCTCCACACACTGAACACGGTTTCGTTTGAAAACGCTTCTTTTTCTCTCCGTTTTGGCCTCGTTTAAGATATTTTATCATGAATATAGGACTGACCTGAAGGAAGACGCTATATCTGCTGTAAATGCAGGAACACTCGCTTACTCGATCTCTCACAATACTCACTCTATAAGCTTATCAATGAGCAACATTAATGAGAACATAGCCTATGTTTACGTTGCTAAGAGTGTTGTGTAGTGATACATTGAACCGTTGAGTGAAGCGGTCGTGTTTTATCGTGAATAAAACAGCTATTGACCAATCAGAATCAAGGACTGGAACTGGAATGGATAATTCCAGGAAACGTTCAAACTGACTGAACTCTGTATGCCTATGACAGACTGACATAAACTGAAGACTTACATGTTTTATCCCGTCTGTTGTCAAACAACGCAATTTCAAATTCAATCCTGCATTTTAATACATTTGTCTCTCCTGAAACTTTGCACTTAGCTGCATGAAAAATAAACATTTATTCAAATTATGAATGGCACAAACAAACTCAGATTCTGACTGACTTAAACGCCTCTGATTGGCCATTGCCTTCACGTGCATGTCTGTGATTGGCTACAAATCTCAACACTGCAAAAACAGTTTGTAAAGAGAAACCTTTGATGCTCCACACACCAGAGCAGCCTGTTTCCAGTGTGTGTGTGTGTGTGCAGTGTGTTTACTCCTCCGCTCTGTGCCTGTAGTTGTGTAGCTCAGGGCTGATGGGAAACACGGAGCTGAACGTCGGTTCTGCCATCGCTTGCTTCTTGGCACAGGAGGGAGCCGATATTAATTACGCCAATCATAAAGGAAAAAGCCCACTGGACCTGGTGACGGACAGCAGCGTACAAACTCTCATCAGGAGCTTTGCAGAGAAACACAGGTGTGTGTCAACTCAAGTCTCCTTCATTATATTACGCTTTTAACAATATAGAGTTTCACAGCAGCTTTACAGTGATAACAGGAGATTACAGTCACAGAGAGTGTTTAGGCTTTACAGCAGCTCTAGAATAGAGTTATTGTCCAGATAAAGTTAGTTTTGATTGATTCACTTCCGTTGCAAAGATCATTAGATATAAACTTAGGGGCCGCTAACACGACACCGCTCTAACACTGTGTGTGTGTGTGTGTGTGTGTGTGTGTTCAGACTGCAGGCCGTCACGTGTGGCACGGGCACCAGCAGTGCCAGTCTCCGGCGGGTTCACACTACGCCCAACACCATGACCAACCTGGCGGTGCCGAGTGTGACGGGTCCCAGCGAGTGCCTGATCTGCTCTGAGCTCGCGCTGCTAGTGCTGTTCTCCCCCTGCCAACACAGCGTCGCGTGTGAGGGTGAGTTTACACACACACACTCACTCACACACACACACACACACACACACACACACACACACACACACACACACACACACACTCACTCACTCACTCACTCACTCACTCACTCACTCACTCACTCACTCACTCACTCACTCACACACTCACTCACTCACTCACTCACTCACTCACTCACACACACACACACACTCACACACTCACACACTCACACTCACTCACTCACACACACACACACTCACACACTCACACACACACACACACACACACACACACACACACACACTCACTCACTCACTCACTCACACACTCACACACACACACACACTCACTCACTCACACACTCACACACACACACACTCACTCACTCACTCACACACACTCACGCTCACTCACTCACACACAGTTGCTGTGTCTTATCACTGAATCCCACACATTTATGCAAACCTCTGTCGGGTCGTGTCTCCTCAGAATGTGCTCACAGAATGAAGAAGTGCATCCGCTGTCAGGTGACAATAACAAAGAAAATCCGACAGGGTAAGTGCTTTTACATTTGAATGATGATGATATTTTATGCCAAGATTTGAAATGTTTTTCAGTACATTTGCATTCCATCTGTGGCCTCTTTTCCAAATGGTAAACATTAGAAATAAATAACATTAGCAGTTAATAATGTCCTTATAGCAGCCGTGTTGTGATCAGCTCGAGTGTTAAATACACACACACTCAGCTCTTAATTTATCTAATTTGGTTAGATGTATGATAGATAACACATGTTACCACATCACAGCCTCCAGGGACTTTCTATTTGAATGACCAAAATTCACTGAAACATCAATAGTTCTTTTGGCAGTAGACAACATTAAAGTCCCCCTGCAGTCGATCATTTTATCCCTTAAAACTCATCTTTGATCTCCAAAATGACATATTTAAGCATTTTTTTCTTGAAAAAATGTCTTCATGTCTTAATCTTGAATGTAACTCAACATCCTCGCCTCATTTAGTATGCGCGGTTCTATGAATATGCAGATGAGCCCCGCCTCCACTCACTCACTCAGCTCAGAGATCCACTGGTTGACGATCACACGTTGATCTGATTGGTTACAAGGTCGTTTGTGACGTCAGAAACACCAGCGATTTCAAACCGTGTTTTTGAGACTGTCTTTGGTTCACTGCAGTTTTAAGGAGGAAATACTCAGCAATGCTGTCGACTTATGAACTTACACATGGTGTGTCTTAAAGCACATTAAAAACACCACATAGACATTTAGGGGCTGTTTACACAACACCATTTTCCACTAAAAATGTAAAACTTTTAATGCGTTTTAGCCGTTCGTTTACACGACAACTATGTTTTTGGTGCCTGAAAATGCAAACTTTTAAAAACTGGTTTCAAAGTACAAGTTTTTGAAAACGGTCTCCGTGTGAACAAGTTCCCTTTCAAGGGAACTTCGAGCTGCGTTTGAGACGCGGTGGGAACGCTCTGCGTGATTGCGTCATGAAGCACATGTAAAATTAGTCCAATGGAAGCCCGAAACGTCATGGGTGACGTCATAGACCAGGAAACTATAAAGCACCCTTGAAAACAGACCGTGACAGCTTCTGTACCTTCAGCAAGCACTCTCTGTGAAATCTGTCCTTGTCTATTTATTGTTGTTTGTCAAGCCCAATATATATATCACTATCTATCATTATGGCGAGCAAGCAAGATTATAGACGTTGTGTTGTTCCCTGCCCTCGTTACATCACGGGTGGGGACACACATCAGCTTTTTGTTGCTGTTTGGGAGTGGAGCATGCAACAGTCATTTCTCGAGGGATCTGACTGTGCATTGCGAGAAGCTGTCCGTGAGGACGCTCCGCTCCCGTCGGGCGTTCTTCGAGGAGGACGGTTCGGTTCGCGTTCCCCGCGCGGGTCTCTCTGTTGCCGAGGCACGGAGACGGCTCGCATTTCGGGGTTCGCAAACGGATCTGACAGCGGGGGTTGGGACGGGCTCCGCCCTATCTCAGCTTTCACATGCCAGATCTAGTGTGCTGCGATTTCCAGTTCCGAGGAATTGGTATCGTTAGTGTTTTGTTTAAAAAGAAAGAGAACAAAACAAATAAAAATCTTAAGAAAAAGGCAGATGTTTGAGTTTTCATTGAATAAATAAGTCAGCTCATAACTCTGCTGAATAAAGAGGAGCTTTTTAAAAAAAAGGAGGTTTTATCTAGTGCTGTTGCCAGTTAAATATTTACTGGCCAGCTGAACATTATGAGATTGAAAATAAAGAAGAGTTTGTTAGATGAACTGTATCTTAAAACAGGAAAACTCTGTATCTCAGCCTCCTCGTCGGGGACTGCGGTTTTTCCCCTATCTCCACACTGAGGTGTCGAGATCGTGGAATAAACCGGTTTGTATTTTATGTGTTTAATCCCCAGATGTCTAACTATAGTAATGTTTGGGTATTAACCCTCTGGGGTCTGCAATCACGCCGGCGTGATCTGCTCGCTTTTTTTCTTATCAGTGCAAAAGAGACTCAAATAACTCAGTCGATTTTTGTCATACAGGCAAATGTTATACATCAATCGATCCTGTTAAGTTTCTATTTTTTTTGTGGATACTTGTTGTGTGGAAGTGTTGTGCTTTTCACCAAATAAAGAAAAACAAACATGATGCGAGTTCTGCGTTCTCTCTGTCAGTGAAGTCCATTCTGAAACGCGTCCTAAGATTAACTGTAACTCCGCGATTACTTGTCATACAGGCACGAGAGATTTTCTTTATGAAGCTTGAATTCTCTTCTTTTAAATGAAGTAATTTATATAAAAAACAAATATTCTCAGTTTATGCAATCTGTATGAAAAGAGAGTGCTGTCAGTATTTTTTTTCCCAGCTCATTACACTTCATTACGCGTTAATCTGACACGCCCACGGAGGACGCGCGCTATTCAAACGCAAATGTCGAGGCAAGCCATGACAATGCCCACATCAGCCGTTCCACCGCAGCGGTAAAATGTGTGGTGTATTTGCTGCCTTTTACCGCTAAGAGGCGCTACAATCATAGACTATGAAAAGTGTTCGTTTATTCCGGTTTATTCTCTCTAATGCGTAATCTGCCGCCGCACCGCGGCTCATTCAGAGCGATTGAAAGCTGGTAGCAGAAGAATTCAACAAGTGAAACGTGGTTAAAATAATTCATAATCACAATACTGAAATTAGGCTACTGAAATGTAATTGAATAAATAATGAAAACATTTCAACATAAAACATTGCAATAAAAACATTTAGGCTACATCAATGAGGCTTTACAACTTAAACAGCGTACAGACGATAGCTCAGTGGTTAACGCAACAACACGAGCTTCGAGGAGCTTCAAACGACCCGAGATCGAATCTCAATGTAGCATACATGTTGTTAATCGATGTTGCCCTACAGCGTTTATATTTTACCACCTTGATGCTTAAATAGCTAACTGTTTATAACTGTTTACTTATTTAAAGTCAAGAGTTTTGTTTAATTATCATTACAACATAAATTTGCTACATTCCTGTAGAACCGCAGCCGCTGCACAAACGACATAAACTGATGAAGGAAGATTGTCAGCCGATTGCATCAGAAAATGAAAATGAAGAAGCTCGTCTTTAGTCTGCTAAATTATTGTGTAATGTAAAAGAACACTAAAATTACTTAAGTTTGAAACCAAGTTCGAACATTTCAAGGTTTAAATAAAGTGTCGGGACAGTTTTTTTTATTTAAAACAGGGTTGCATCGGGTTTAGAGTTTATTTCTTTTGCGATGCAAAATAAGAAACACTAGGCTAATCTTATTATTGCGACATTTTAAATTTGTATTGCCAAAGAAATTACAGCTAAATTAAACAATTAAAACAGTACAAAACGAAAATTGTCCAAAGAAACATAATTAAATTAAAAACATGCGTTTTTCTTTGCCTCTCTCGTGCTGGAACTCTTTTTAACAAATTTATTTAGTCTCCCTCGCTGCGCATGCATGATATGGTCAATGCATGATAATTATTTAGCCTTTAATTGTTGCTTCAAAGACACAGCATGCCTTGTTGAATTCACCTTACAATAACTTTAAAATAGGCTACAATAAATAAACTACAATATTTATAATTTAATAAGATATGGGGCCTACATTTGGACACAGATTTATCCTTACAATAATTTTGCCTGCTCATCAGGCTGGCTATCCGACACTCTCCATATGAAAGAGGAACATTAACACCTTTGTCCAGCAAATGTCCCTCCAACCCCCCACAGGCTATCGGAGTCTGAGGCTGATTTAACACAAAGAGAAGTCGCAATTCACACTTAAATCGCTATTCTAGACAGTGTTGATAATGAAGGAATTAAATGATTTAAGTTACATGTAGCCTAGTGATATTTCTGTCATAAAAGTTTATTACTAAATATTTAACTCTGATAAATAGGTAACTCCTCTGCTTAAAAAATCAACATTAAACACATCACTTCTAGAGAACTACAGACCTGTCTCTCTCCTACCATTCATTGCGAAAACACTTGAACGAGTTGCTTTTAACCAAGTATCATCCTTCCTGTCTCTGAACAACCAGCTGGATGTCAACTAATCTGGCTTCAAGAAAGGACATTCAACTGAGACTGCATTGCTGTCAGTCACGGAAGCCCTGCGGATCGCAAAAGCTGCTTCCAAATCATCAGTTCTCATTCTACTGGACCTGTCTGCTGCCTTCGACACTGTGAATCATCAGATCCTCTTGTCCGCCCTCTCATCACTGGGCATCACTGGAACCTCCCTCAACTGGTTTGAGTCCTATCTCACAGGTAGGTCCTTCAAGGTCACATGGAGAGGTGAGGTATCCAAAGCACATCAACTGACCACAGGCGTTCCTCAGGGTTCAGTTCTCGGACCGCTCCTCTTCTCCATTTACACCACATCACTGGGACCCATCATACAGGCACATGGTTTCTCTTACCATTGCTATGCTGATGACACCCAGCTCTACCTCTCATTTCAACCAGATGATCCCACAGTAGCTGTACGGATCTCAAGCTGTCTGGCGGACATCTCGGCATGGATGAAGGGACATCACCTGCAGCTCAACCTGGCAAAGACTGAGCTTCTCGTCCTCCCTGCCAATCAGTCTCTACAGCACGACCTCACTATCCAGCTAGATTCTTCCTCAATCACCCCATCAAGGTCGGTCAGAAATCTTGGAGTAATCTTTGATGATCAGCTGACCTTCACAGACCACATTACAAAGACAGCTCGATCATGCAGGTTTGCTATGCACAACATCAGGAAGATCAGGCCTTTCCTAACTGAGCATGCAACACAACTTCTCGTCCAGGCCCTGGTCATTTCTAGGCTTGATTACTGCAATGCTCTTCTGGCCGGTCTTCCATCATGTGCAACTAAACCTCTACAAATGATCCAGAATGCTGCAGCTCGTCTGGTCTTCAACGAGCCCAAAAGGGCCCACGTCACTCCTCTGCTCATCTCTCTGCACTGGCTACCACTCGCTGCACGCATCAAGTTCAAGGCTTTGACGCTTG